AATTAAATAACATCTGAATAGCGAGCTTCTTAGAGCTAATATCCAATTATTATTGGTATTTTGTTTTGTGAATACAACAACAAACACTACAACAAAACAAAATACCAATAATAATTGGTATTTTGTTTTGTGAATATTCTAATTAAAACATATCTAAATATGCCACTCTATAAAACGAGAAAATAATTGTAATATTTTATTTGTAATCTTGGTAGATTTAGTTTGATGGTGTATGATCGTTTATATATTAATTAATAACAGTTCTCTTGCAATGTTTTTTTTACAACCGTATTTTAAATAATCACTAAAGTAATTACTTATTTGAAAATAAAAAAAATACTGAAACATATAAAATAATTTACTAAAAATTGTACAGCGTGCGAGGCTCTTGAATTCTGCAATAGGTACGAATGCAATCCTAATATTAATATTTGTTGAAGTTGACCTATGACATTTGGCGAGTGGTGGGTCAGCAGGGCACTGAACCAACGACCCCAGCCTCCTGCCAGATCCCGCGAACAGCATGTTACGTAAACCGATTATTTTATAAGAACTGCGGATGGAAATGCCATATATTATTAAAAGCTATGCATTTTATAAAAAAATGTTCTACGTATATAATATATCTTGTAGAATGTATTTATAAAGATGGATTTCGATTTACAGGGACTGTTATTTATTCCTGTAGAGGAGAGAAGTTATAAATATGGTAATTAAAACTTGGGTGAGTTTATTTTTAGACCGTAAATGTAATTGTTTGAACAACTGACCAAAAATATTTTTTCCCGCACTGATTACTGAAACATTGAACTGCCAGCGTAATCATTTATACAAAACAAATATTTTGCAATACTTCAGTCTCTTGTTCTAATACTTTCGCTAAAAGTTTTCACCTAAAAGTTATTGTATTTACATATTTAAGTCTTACGAACGGATTCTACCTATATTAAAAGGCGACACTACGAGTTGTAGACTTTTTGAAAAAAAGGTAATGTGGAATCTTCATACATACATTTATGTACGAATATATATATTTGTACATTATAAATAATTATTTTTGTTAGTAATTTATGTAATTATTAATAAGTATATATTTTATCATTATAATTCAAATTATATAAATTTTAAAATACTCTGATCTTACCATCAGAAATAAGTAAAATTTTCTCGAAAAATTGCTTGGCTAATAAATGTTATATTATCTAATAAAAAACCGTTGTTTGTTAACTTTGTTGTATAGTAGATCACTTTAGGCACGCCCTAGGAAAAATTAGCTAAATTGGTACCGTCCGCCAACTATTTACGATGATAATTAAACTGATAATTCAGCCAAACAGGAAGGCTAGAATAATATGTCAAAATCAAGGATACTACAAAAATATATACATCAGTATTTAATTCATTGTACGCAGTCAATATGCTAGCAGCTGGCGACATCTATCAGAGTTTTTCCGTAACTTATTGAACTAAATTTACACCTAGCTTATGAATCTCATAAATTAACTAGGTATTATATTATAATATTTTTTACTATAATATTTCTTTATGGATGAGGTTGTAAAAGTTTTCAGTGATGAAATAGGTTATGAAGCGTACAATGAAATTAGTTCAATGAAAGCTTCCTGAAAGCTGAAAAGGCGTAAGCATAATCTTACGTTATAGGCACAGGCACTCCCAATCACACACTATCGATCTGAAAAGGACCCCAAACCGGTACCACAATTACATAATTGCTGGCGACACGCGAAAAACGCCCGTAAAACTTGCTCTGAGATGGAAAGAATTCCCATGCACAATGGCTATTTCGGCGCTGCGCCGGCGGCGCTTGCAACCTTGAATTGGGAACGCACCTTTAATTTTAGCCGGATAACCTAGATACGGGAACCATTTCGAGTGCGATCGATATTCGCCTGCGCACTTCGAGCGCGATACGAGCGTGAGGAGCGGCGGACCGCGACCGACTGGGACTCTCGCTCGCCCTAACCTCTTCAACTGCTAAATCGCTGCTATCTTGCTGCTAACAGCAGCTGGAACATTTTTCACTGTGATTTACTCATTCGCTATTATAAATCGTGTATCGAATAATAAAACCAATATAATAATTATTGAAGGAAATCTACTGCATTTTTAGGCGTAGCTAATAACCCGTAGCTTGTAGACCTCGCGCGTAGTAATTGTACGTAGCAGACCCATAGAATATGGTAGACTACAGTATATAACAAAATTGAACTTACTAAATTTGTTTGTACTGATATATCGAAAAATAATTAATAGACAATAAATATCGACCGACTAACAGTTGTCGGCTTGTCGCCGTATAATTGTATTAGGATCTCGATATTTTTACACGAAAACCCTGTTTGAAAAATCACAGTGAATTATAATATGCGTTATTTTCAGGGAGATCGAGACCGAACCGCGCACGCGCGTTGTCGTAACGATCCACGCTGATCTTGTAAGAACAGGTGTTAGCGTATAACTAACCAACTTTACTGATGATGACCTTTACTATGGCATCTTTGAGTACATTAGTCAATAAAATTTATCATTGTAAAACGTACTGTAGATTTGACTCACCTAGGTTATGATAATTGAAAGTCATTGAACGTGCTATAATACTTTAGGTTAAGAAAGCTTCACAAAATTATTTGAATATATTACGGCCGAGATGGCAAATCGGCTCTCGGATCAAAAATTATGAATGTTAAAAATTAAAAATCTTTCATCTTAATTATTAAATCATCTGCTCTATGCAAATTTTATATTTTAAAATTTAATGGTATTGGCGCCAAAAACTGAATAAAATAGATAACACAATACAGTTAAAGTATCATTTTTAATGTAGAAATATCGATAGCCATCAAATCTTTTCTTTCACGGTTGCCACGTGTTTTTTATTTACTTACAATAAATACGTAACTACACACTTATGAACTTCAATATTAAATATTTAAAGGTTTCTATTCATCCTAACTCCTTTTAGATTCTTCAATTACATAGGTCCGTCTTGAATATTTACCACAACGGTGAGTTATTACATTATACGTTTATAATGTTATATAATGCCGTTAAATTTTTTACTTGTCATTCAGTAATCATAAATTATGTTAAATTGAAGCTGCCATTTCAATTCGATAGAGTGATTAATGTTTTCATAATCGATGTTATTACTTCCCGCACACGAAGTTATTTCAAATTTACAACGGTACATGAGAAATAATTTGAGTTAAAAGATCTTTCCGACATTAAGTATCATTATGTTTTTATATATTTTGAACTATGTTCAAGAAAGATGTATAAGTAGTATTTATCTGCAAAGTAACTGAAGGGTTGTTTGTATAAAAAAAACAAGATAATTGAACATATTTATTTTAAAACAAATTTGTACACGAAACAATATCTTTTACTGATGTCTTAAACTAAAATCCGCTTCATATTAAATTTTCAGAATTCAACGGTTTTCTATTTCATAATTGATGTGCTAGCGACGTTTTCCTACAAACTATATAACAATTATAACTATATACATGTTAAAATCTCGTATATCACATCATTCATTCAAAAATATAGCTTAACATTATATCCCCGTCACGTTTGTGACTTTATTGACAGTACAACTGTTTGACAAAATTTCTTATCTACCTGCATGTTTTAAATCAGATATTCTTGAAATCTTAAATCTATTTTTTCCAACAAATTTTGTTAATAGTAACTATTTAGAGGTAGCTCGAAACAAACGGGTTATAATAATGTTGAATTCAGAGATCTTACAATATTGTCGCAATTCATGATGAGAATAAAAATCATTGATATGCATTATGCATATTATATAAAATGCTTAAAATCAAAAGAATTACATTTAAAACTCCCTCATTACTTTTTAATCTAATTAATGCCACAAACTTATCTGATACTGCTGCATTTATAGTTGATATTAGAATCAGCTATTTGCTGTCACCAACAATCTTTATTCACTGGATCAGATACGTCATGGTGTCGAGACAATTTTATTTAAACTTGTAAAACCCACTAGTACAATATCTTAAAACTGTTGGCAAGTCAGGCACTAAGATCGTTAAACAAAATATGATATCTACAATTTTTACTCTCAATCATTGGTTCACACATACGCACACTACAGTATGGCTAATCGAATACGGTATATTGACGGCATTATCTTAAATTTCTTAATACTATCAATTGCTTTATTGTACTGATTCGTCTAAACTAAAACTAACTCGAACAACTAACGCTGAAAACGGTGTTAACGATGGAGATGAAATCTAAGATATGGAAGAAATTTAGTAACAAAAACGGATTACAAGTAGCTTAGTGGCTTCATGGTTAGTTGCAACACATATAAGAACAAAGCACGATGGCATAATGGAATGTTTATAATACATGGAAGATGTCCAGTGATATTTATATCCGTTCACTCCAAAAGATATTTATTTTCTGAAGTCCAAGGAAGAATAAAGAGATAAGGAGGCGAATACATAAAAGAGAGACAATAAAATTCGTTAAATTTATTAAAATCCATTTCGTCCACCCAGAACAAAGTCAGCGAGGCTAAAATTTGTTTTGGTTACGATCACATAATCGGAACTTATCACAGATATCACTAAAACGTTCCGAACACGAATTTGTGTGACATAGTTGTTACATTTACTAAAACCACAAATAATTGGCACTACAATTGTAATAAATATTAATACTGTGATGTTATGTAATTGATTTTGTATAAAAATAAAAAACAATTTATAGCAGCTTAAATTACGCAAATCTAAGTCTAATCCGTTAAAACTTTTCGTTATAACCTTTGGCATAACAATTCTAGTCTTCTAAAAAGGCATTCGCTGATCATATATTCATTTACAGATCAAAATGTAAAATACTTTCTAAAATGACAGCTAAATTGCGAAGCATTAAGAAGCCTGATATCCCAAGGTCTTTTTCATGATCAGCGGAAAAAGTCTTCTTCACACGTTCTTCGCTTGTGATTAAGTGCCTGAACCCGGAACATTATTACCATATTGTAAGCCAAATATAGAGAGGATGACGAATGCTAATCCTAAGAAAACAGAGCCTAAAAGATCTCCCAGGGCAGTCAGATATGGAATAGCTGCGTTGTCGGGGTCTTTCTTCTTCTGCCACATAAAGTGAACGAGAATGTATGCTAGATATAGCAACACCATAACCTGAAAAAAACAATAAAATTACTACGGCATTCCCAGCTCCAGACGTTGAGGAACTTTCAATGTTTATTTTTTAGATTTATTTTCTTTTGCTAACATTGTATGGAGCAGATTGCCATTATTATAGAAGCTATAAGAATAGCAGTCTTTTGGTTGGTTTGGTTGGTGGCAAAGCGCCTTTAAGTTCATATAAAATCTGCATTGAAAATGTTATTGTAAAGTTTTAAATATTTCACCTGTACTACACTGCACATAACATAAGTGACGCCAAAGAACACTTGAATGGTAACGAATCCCTGGTAGACGAAGTCAGCTACGATCATAAAAACGATCTGACCACAAACGGCAAGAACCAGCAACATTCGAGCGACTTTCGCGGCGGGTGCTGCAAAGTATAGACTGATTAGTACTGGTTAGTTAAAAAATAGCATTAGTCAGTGGCGCTACCACCTTTTTAGTTTTGGGCCTCAGATTTCTGAATTTGTTTCAGGATCATTTGTCAATCTAATAGACAAGTGGGTGACCCACCTCCTGTGCCTGACACGCGCCGTCGACTTTTTGGGTCTAAGGCAAGCTGGTTTCCACACGATGTTTTCCTTCAATGTTCGAGTGAATGTACATAGAAAGAAAGTCCATTGGTCCACAGCCGGGGATCGAACATACTACCTCAGGGATGAGAGTCACAGACTGAAGCCACTAGGCCAACACTGCTCTGGTTAGTTAAGTCATAAGAAAACCTTATAAGATAGTATTTTAAATAAGAGAAAATTTTGAGAATCTGGAATCTGGATTAATATAATGAGTGTGAAATCATTATATCAATCGAGTGAGTAATTAATATGAATATATATATCGTACGGTATGTGTTATTTAACTTACTTCCAAAGAACAATGTCTTCCAAGGCCACTCGATAATCCTCGTGTTCTCCGGGAGTACTCCTGGTATTGCTGTCTGGTGTAGATGTGTTGCCAGACGAGAGGATTGCACACACACCAAGTTACCACCGATGCCGTTGACGATTGGTTGGAATACCTCATACGCCGGGTACCTGTCTACTGCCTGGTCCAGAACAATGCCTCCGATACTGTGGAAATAAATATTCTTTTACTGAAATAATAGTACATATGTACTAATATTAGATATATATCTAATATAGAATATGACCAGTCTCAGTTTGCACTAAAGGTCAGCTTTGAACAAACCTTTATTCAATTTCGTTTGAATGTTTATTAATAATAATAAGCATTGAAATAACAAACGATAACACAATGGATTTAAATGTGGTCTGCATTAACATGTACGTAAAAGCAGTTTCTTCAGACAACACAGAAGCTAAACATTATATACTTTGATCAATGTCGAGGGAAATTATACACGATTCCACCAACATGGAAACTAACCCGCTAATAAAGAGAGCAGAAATGACTGGAGTCCACCCGGTGGTGAGAACTGTCTTGGTATATTTGTTTCGCCAAACAATAAACACCCACACCGGAAGAAGGCAGTAGTACACGCACAGCAAGGTTATCGGCTGCCACAAAGACTTTTCTGAAAAGGAATTCGGAAATTTAAGAATATATTTTGGTGTCAGGATAAATAAAACTTAAAGAATTACTATTAAGATTACCTGCCTTCATTTATACTTTTTCATAAAAACTATAGAAAACAGACTTCGGTTTAATGAATATTAACTAGGTATGAAATCTCAGCATACTCACTTATTTGTTCAAACATATACTGCGCTGTGACAGCCAGCACTGAGTTGCTGACAATGTCTCCGATAGAGGCCGCTAACGGTGTAGCTACGTTGTCTGGGTTAACTTTGAATTTTTGAGAGCCAAAGATCACCATCACCATCACGAAATCTAAAAATAAACATTTAATAAGCTGATTAGTTTGCTTAACGCTCATTTATTAAATAATGAGTCAGAATATAACATAGAAATTCCAATGAAATATCGACCTTATATCATTGATTTTAAAACACACATAATACCAGAAAACATATTTAGACAAAATGATTACTTACCCAACACAAAACATGTAGTAGTTGCAGTGAAGATAGCTGAAGAAATTATGAGAAGAACATAGTTTCCGTTCAGTTCCCGATCGGTGATTGTGTTGACTACAATCGCGAAAAGTGAGACCACTGTCGCTGCTACTATTGCTTGAACCTGGAATATGCAAAAATATTATGTTTAAAGTTATAACATTCTAAAACCAGATAGAATACTCATTAACGTAAGCTATTCGTATGGATGATATATTTTTATTACTAAAACTACAGTTCAAGGTCTTATTAAGGTGTTGTGTTATTAAGGTTTAAGGTGTTGTTCTACTGTATGTTTTAAAAGACAGCGGTACTTCACCTAATGAAATAATAATGTTAATAGCAATAATTGCAGTCACCACTATAACCTACAATTTCTGAAAGATATAAGGAATAGTGATACTCTGGACTGGCTTTTTAATATAGACTTAGAGGCAACAATATAGCTCTTAAACATCACTAAGGATTGCACTTGGAGGAAGTAAATTGTGGAGACATGATCTACCAACCTGTACAAGTGATATGTTCCCGACGACCATAGAGATGACTTCCCTCGGAGAATCCATGTTTCCCAAGTTAGCCTGTGTCGACAGACGAGACGCCAGGCACATGTCCAGATTACCTGTTATATAAAAACTAGTAAATAAACATCAAATATTATTACATACATATTTTCATACGGCAATTATCAATTTCATACGAAATTTTTTAGAACTAAACTGCACTATAGTTGAAAATAATCAAACTTATATTTCAAAACGTGTTTTATAATTTAGTATTTTTGTCACGTGGCAGATAATCTTGTGATCACTATCATATTCGGATATCAATCTATGATATAAATAGATTGTAATGTATGCATAATATTAACCAGAAAAGAGCATTTTTATTATATTTCGTTGTCGGTCTATATTTATTCTATGTACTGGTTGGTATACGTCAAGCGAATTGCGAATAGTACGTATAACGAATTGGTTGAAAGTTAAAACAAAACAATGTTTACACTACGCTCGTTACGAACATGGTGTGTTTATATCGGCATGCAGACAAAAGGCGTCAGATTATTTAAACATATATATACGCTTTCAAAACAATATCTTGATCAAAATAAGTAGGTATAACAAATACACAGTTTTGCATTATAAGTTACTCTTCTAAGGCATTTTTATGTAAATTAAGAAATTAACTTGAAAGTTAAACAAAGTTTAATTGTAACTGCAAAAAATATTATAAACATTTTTATTCTGTAAATACAAATAAATTAAGAATTCAGTTAAATTTATGATATAAAATTTCCACTCGTCAAAAATCACCAAAACGAGTAACACTACATTATTAATAATAATTTGTGCTTACAGTTAATTTCAGGGAAGGTAGATATGTTCAAATATATGTTAATTTAAACACTTTGTTATCTTTAATCGTTTAAAGTATTAGCTTATAACTAACATAAAATTGAGGATAGTGGGGTTGCGAATCTAACAAAAAACTAACTTGGCTTATCTAAGAATCTAAGTGACACCTCAATACAAGTATAGTCGACCTTTTTGGACATTCTCGGAAACACGAATGTTATACAATTGATGAGTGTGGGAAAAATTAAAGGGCTCTTTTGGGCTTCAAGTGTAAGTAAGTATTTACTAAAAAATATATATATATATGTAACTTAACTAATGTAAGGTTACATAACTCTACATTTTTTGTTTTCACAGTAATAATCGTATTGTTTTCTAAAAATTAGAGAAAAACGTGTAGCATCATTCATTGTTTAACCGCTAGTGTATGCTGCGTACACACAAACGAAAGAAATCTAATAAGAGTCACAATTGTTTTAATTTAACATTTTATTAGCAATCCTAGAATTAACTGAGAATTATAAAGCTATTGAAAATAATAAGGTTGAAATTTCTGAAGTGACTACAATTAGTTACTAAAGGATTAGGTTAGACTTGAGGTTACTTTAATCATTGTATTTATTTATTTATTTATTTATTTATTGCATTTTAGGAAGATTTACAGTATTTTAACAGAAGGTAAATTATGATTACAATAAAATAAAGTCAGTACTAATTACAAATCTCCACCTATAGATAATCCATAAATACCTTAAGGAGATAGGAGGGATAAAAATTAACAATCATGAATTTATAATACTATGAAACAATGAAAGAACTTAAGTAAATTACAAATTAAGTATGACTTCTAATGGAAATAGCTGGATGTGAGTGTGCGTCTCACAGAGTCAATGGAAGAACAGAATAGATCGATGTCAAGCTGGGTTGAATACTGGTTGTAGGTCTGTACATTTCGAATCAAGAATGTATACGTATATATGTATACGAATAATAGGACCATTTGGAGGCATGAAAATCAAATCATAAATATAACAAAGGAAGTGTGCACCTAGTATAACCACAATTAGCTGGAAAATTACAAAGTAATAGACGTATATGACAGATTTTTATCGCGGACATAATTTTAAAATCGCTCTAATGTCTTCTGATTGCTTTGATAACACTTTTTTACACTAGAATAACGTTAAGGTATTATTTGGCATATTATTGGATATTGCTTGACAGATGCATTATTTTTAAACTTGGCAAAATTATTGAGTTTAACACATATCGTTTTTATAGAATATTATAACTACAAAAATTGGCTGAAATTTGCTTTTTACTAGCGCAATAATATGTACTTAATACAATTTATTATCCCTCCTTTGTGATTGAAACCAGAGAGTTCAGATCAACTTTTTGTTTCACTTGCTGATTAAGTATGATATTTTTACTCACCCTTCAATCCCGATAGCGATGGTACTAAAACAAATATGGCTGACACTTCCACGAACACGTCCCAACCCTGAAAATTATTTTTAATTTGAATAAATAAATAATAAATCGTTTATTTGCAAAGAATGTACATTCAAATTGATAGTCATCTATAAATTCTAGGACCGTGATTTAATAGTTTGATTGAGTAACAATTTTTTTAATACAACGTGGTGCAAAAACACCCACAGCCGTGTTGGATCCCTCGGTAGATACAGGCCAGTTTCTTTAAATGTTTTGAATAAATTTGGATGCTTTTACATATATATAATATATATACAAAGAATAATTTCAAGAATATTCATTATACATCATTTACTGAAATATATTCAATAAAGAAAGCGTAGTGCTATGTTAAAAATTAATTTTAAAGCGACTTTTTTACTGTGTAAGTTATTCGAGACATTAGAGGATCAATATTCTTTATATAACTATCAAATTTTTTTGTGAGGAAACTGACTCGCCAAACTAACATATTATATTATCTAGATAAATCTGTAGGTAAAACAACAATGCTATCAACCACAAGTTGTTAAACTGGGAATCACCTGCGCATGCGGTTAACAAACGTTATCTTATAACGATTTCTAATACTTTAAAATTGCCAACCGAGCGTGGTAATGTATTGATAATATTGTATATATATATAATAAAACATGTGCTCCGTTTAAGGAGTGTTTATAAAAACCCTTTATTTCTTTTACAGGTACTGTGGAAAAATAATTTTACGGCCTTAAGAGACATAATTTAAAATTTAAAATCAGCCTATTTTCGCCTATTATAGAAGTCATATTATACTAACTCTGACGCTGCCGAGAACCAACCCAGCTCCGATGGTGCCACATCCCGCTATGAAGAACGGCACGGCCACTTGCATCAACGTGTTCCACCATCTCTCTTCCTTTTTCTGCCAAAGAAACCAATAAGTTACCGTCTAGTATATGATTAATAGAATTATTAAAAAACAAGCTATAATATATTGAAAGGCATGAAAACGTGTTGGTTATTTGAAAATACAAGGCAATACGCCGTTAAAACTGCAGTATTATATTATCGCTGTATGTTCGGTACGTTTAAAAGCAATAATATTTTTGAGCAGTCAAACCCCTAGTATATTTTATGACAGCATTTCTATAAACATACTAAAACACATATTACATTTAAACACATTTAAATTTTTAAAGTACTTCACTATTCATTCTTTGACAATACTTTTACAATTGCAATCTTTAACAAAGAACTATATTTTACACGCGTTTATTCTAATCAACAAGTTTATGTTCCGTCTTTTACGATAAAAAGTTAATTACCTAGTTACGACATTACATGAAATAGTGTGTAAAGCGACAAAAAAATGATGGAAGTCACCTATTTGTCTTTTTTTTATTCTTGAGTAATTTACTTGAAAATGAGAACGAAGGCGACTTTAACCAAAATTTAATAAAACATAGTTTATGTTATAACAAAACAAAGTATTTATCTATAACTTTAAAAATCCGTAACTTTGATCGCCTAATTTCTCTTAAATGTTGAGAGAAAAACTTAAAATTGCAGAATGCTTTCCATAGAACTAAAATCGCATTTCTTAAACAGATCAGAACAGTCGTTTATAAATTATCGTACTATGTCGCGGTACAATTTTTATAAATTTTCCCCTTGGAAAATTTACGTTTTCAATTATAAAATACATTGAGACTAATGAGCTTTGTGCACGATTAGAAGCCAAAAACTACAATATGTATTTCGAAATCGGTTCAATTGGAAAGTGGTCAAATAGAACATCATAATTATAAAGGATATCTTGAAACTCAGCTAAAGCAAAAAGTACTAATTGTATAAAAACGTATTAATCATTCTTTTGTTATATTCTTCAGTTACATATCCTATTGTTCGATACGAGCACTTTAATCGCTATGACAATCGATTTCTTCACTGATTGAGTCAAGTCCTTCACGTTTATTTTCTATTTAAATGTAATCTTGATTGTCTGAAATATAATTTAAAATATTTCCACAATTCTGAAAATTATAACATATTAAGTAATTTTGTGGCGTTGTTATTATATTTCTTCTGCCAAAAGTACAGACGAAAAGACATCGGAATTAAAGATATAACATATGAAACGCCCAGTTCCTTGGTCTCCCTTGACTTTATCAACAATTTAATTTGAATTTCTTGAGTTATTTATACATTCTCGCATGTTTTATCTCAAAGGGCATTTAAAAACCAATTTTCTCAAATAAGGCTGACGCAGATGTTGTAATGACATTGACGTAATAATTTTTCTTTTGAGGTAATCTAATCCACAGTTATCATTGTGGTATAAAAGTGTTTTAATCTACATAAATACACTTAACCTTTACAATGTCATAATGAAAAGGCTGTATCATCCAGAATAAATGGGAGCATTAGGCTTTAATAGGAAAGGGGTCCTCACAAGAAGTACAATATCTGGGTGATTGCACTATATTTGGTCCTATTGTAATAAAATGGTAGCTATCGGCCATTTCCGTTTGCTGACGTCACAGCTCTTTGTGTATTGTAATTTAGTTTGAATTTATTGTGCTCATTATGTCAAAAACCTCTTTTATTATTATTTTGTACGCGAAACTAATTTGATAGATATTCGTTATGATCAATTTAAGTAGAGGCGTGGTCCAAAATTATAATTAAGTGGAAAGGGCATCTAAAAACTTAATATATTTTAATACTTACTCATTGCAGACATGATGGTCTTTTGCTAAAATGTGATATTAAAATAAGGCATTTGTATGTATGTCACTTGTACGTAAAAGTGCCTAAATTAAGAAACTAAAATATTATCATATCAAAATAATGATCTCTTATTACGAATATTTTAATCAGAATATTGTCTTACCCCGGATAAGGGCTGTTTCTCAGCATCATCATCAGGTAACTTCTTTTCGGGCAGATCCACGGGGCTTTTCAGTTCCCCATTCGTGTTTATGGATGCCATCGTGTATCCGCTGTCTGGACTGCCAATTTCATCTAAAAACAATTTATCATCATTGTATGGCTGTCCAATTACGGCTAAGAATGTAAATATAAAATATTCATGGTTTAAGGCAGGAGGGTTTTATACAGGAAATGATGTGTTTGTATGTACGTACTGTAAAGGACAGGATACGAAGGAACCGGAGACCAAAAAAGCGACGACAACTGTCAGATAAAGTAGACTGATCATCTCCATAGCCTATAACAATAATCAATAGAACAGACGGAGAAATGTGTCCCAAAACCCTGACGGGCTACATCAAAATATGTGATGAAATCCTCTGTTTATTTTGCGATTTGTTTAAGTTATTTTCAATCAGTCAACGCAGGCTTTTATATAATTTGTATGAAAGTCTTGCGAAGTTAAACTAACACAGTAGACGTTTTGTTCCCCTTTAGTTAATTTTAATAAAATTTGCTCGCATTGTTTTAAATCTTATCTTATCTTAATAATATCGACATTTTCACGCTTTTGTACTAACTGGGTATAATTTGTTGGCAAATGATAATTAACTAATTAGTATATTTAGTCTCGACAGCTTATAAAATCAAATTAACTCAAGAAGTAGTATTTACCTCACAGAAACTTTATTATTTAAGTAATTATACTACCGGGTCACTCATAAAACATAAATAATCAACACTCAACCTTTATTATCTATATCTTATGGAATTGATAGCGAGTGCGAAAATACCTACAAGGACGTATACTTTTAAAAAATTATGTGTAATCAGACATAGATGTAATAAATTAATTGCACATGTTTATTATTTCTTAAGTAAAGCTACCGTCGGTATTTCATCAAAATGGGAAAATGATGTCTCTATAGTTATATATTAATAGTATCAATCGTACCAAAAATATTATATATAATAATATATTTAAATCTTGTTCTTGGTTTGGGAAGTAATATGTTTAAAAAGAGTACAATTATTTTTTTCACCACAATCTGCTCAAATAAATTTTAAGCACACAGAAAACTAATTTGTACAATGTAACCACTTTTATTCATTAAAACGATTCACTCTCATCACTGTTTTATTATATTTTTGTCTCAGAAAGAAACTAATAATGAGTACTTTAGTCAAAACAGTGTAATAAAACTAATTCACTCTTTATGATTAAATAATAATAATGAACATACCTAAAATTGTATAACCATTAAATTTCCTCCACATTTTATGTACAGCCATTTCTATATTAACACCCATTATTACTAAAAACTAATAAAACACTGCACTCAACCGATAACAAAATAGCACTGTTTAGTAGCGGAAACACTATTCACTTTAAAAAAAACATCGGCAATGCCATTCGTTTTTGTACCAGAGAGCTAAGTCTTTTATCATTTATCAGCATCTTCACACATTAAAAATGATAATTTTTCTCGAATGACACAACGTGCAAAGGGTTCACAGTCAAATTACAACAGTTGTTCAGACCGCGTAAATGTGTCAAAGAGACGATTGTAACTAACAATTTTATCTATGTTTTGTTTTGTGTATGTGTGCGGAAGTCACGTACAGTAATTAGTTAAGTCAGCTATGATTTTATTACCGATAAAATGATAAGGGGTTGTAGTGGGGCGTATGGCATAATTATTAGTTTTGAATCTCTGAAATCTAGAAACAATTAGACGTAGATGTGATTATGAGAAATGAGAACTAATGATCAGTATCTAAGTGTGGTTTAACTTCAATTTTCACTGGCATTAACAGATCAGTGAGTTCGTGGCCGTGATCGCAAATTAATTTCCTGGCGTTAATTGTCAGTCAAATAATTGCAAAACGATAAAAAATTAACGCTGTATATATATTTTTTTAATTTTGTATGAATTTATTGTTGGTGTACGTAAAAGTACACGCATGAATTGTATACATATATCTATATTGCCAATAATATAGTTTCCGTTCAACATATAAGATGAATAAACACGTTTCTTTCATTTTCCGTTATCTTATTAACTTTATCACTTTAATGTCATAGGTAATCGCTATACTATAATTATTATATTACAGTAGGTATTGTAAGCAGTTGGGTTAAATCAATAAAAAGGAAATTAATGTCGCAAGTTATATTAGGATGAATCAAGTATAAATTTATATTTAGCTTTTTATATTCCTATTCTTTGTTTTAGAAGTTTCTTAAGCGAGATGGAAACGTGCGATTCTCGAGCGGTTATCTTTTATCCAACTATTGTTAATACGCTCGTAATAAATTTGTTTGACGCAGTCTGTGAAGTCAACAGTGACAATCAGTGTGAGTGAATGCAAACTCCTTAAGAAAACATTATTTAGAAGAATAATGGCGCTTCCTTACCGGCCCCCTTTTTCCCCCAATTTTTGGCGCCCCCTTTTCCAAAAAAAACCCCCCCCCCCCAAAAAAATTTTTAAACCGCCGGTGGGCCAAACACCCCCCGGGGGGGCAACTGTTTTTTTTTTTCCCCCCTATTATGCCCCCCCCCCCACCCCCCCCCCCCCCCCCCCCCCCCCCCCCCCCCCCCCCCCCCCCCCCCCCCCCCCCCCCCCCCCCCTTTTTTTTTTTTTTAAAAAAAAAAAAAAAGGGGGGGTGGTTTTCTTCCTTCCTTTCTTAAGCCGGAAACCTTCTCCTTTTTAATCTTAAACAAAATTTTTTTTTTAAACCAATCCACAACCCCACCGCCCCACCCCCTCCCTTTTTCTTTTTTATTTAACACCCCCCACCCCCCCACCCCAACACCCCCAACCCCCCCCCCCCCCCCCCCCCCCCCCCCCCCCCCCCCCCCGTTGGAAAGGGGCCCCCCTCCCCCCACCAACAAAAAGAAACCACAAAAACCCCCGGCCCCCCCCCGCCTTTTCCTTTTTCCCCCCCTCCCCCCCCCCCCCCCCCCCCCCCCCCCCCCCCCCCCCCCCCCCCCTTTTTCTTTTTTTTTTTTTTTTTTTTTTTTTTTTTTTTCCTTTTTTTTTTTTTTTTTTTGTTTTTTTTTTTTTTTTTTTTTTTTTTTTCCCCCCTCCTTTTTTCCTCCCCCCCCACAACACCCCCCTTCCCTTGGGGGGCTCTTTTTTTTCGGCGGTTTTTTTTTTTTTTTTTTTTTTTTAATTTTTTTTAATTTTTTTTTTTTTTTTTTTTTTTTCTTTTTTTTTTTTTTTTTTTTTATATTAAAAAAAAATTAAAATTAGTGGTTTTTCCCCTTTTTTTTTTTTTTGGGTGGTTGGGGGTGGGGGGGGACCCCCCCTTTTTATATTTTTTTTTTTTTTTTTTTTTTTTTTTTTTTTTTTTTTTTTTTTTTTTTATTTTTTTTTTAAATTTAATTTCTTATTAAAAAACTTTCCTCATATTTTTCTTTTCTTTTTCCTCACATCTTTTCCCTTTACAAAATTTTAAAAAATTAAAAAAAAAAAAAAAAAAAAAAATAAAAAATACAAAAAAAAAAAAAAAATATTTTTATAATAAAAAAAATATAAATAAAAAATAAAAAAAATAAAAAAAAAAATATAAAAAATTTTAATAAAAAAAAATAATTAAGAAAAAAGAGGGGGGGGTGGTTGTGTGGGGGGGGGGAGGAAAGTAAGAGGGGGAGGGACAGGCAGGCACAACACGCCCCCAACCAAAAAAAAAAAAAAAAAAAAAAAAAAAAAAAAAAAAAAAAAAAAAAAAAAAAAAAAAAAAAGAATAACAAATATTAAAAGTATTGTTATTTTTTATAATCTATTTAGTTTTTGTTACATTGAACGCGGTTTGATATTTTTCATGCATAGTCGTAAAAATTCTCCATACGGAGTCAAAACCAATAAAGCATTAGTACAATTAAATAGTTTTTAATTATAAATTGTAGGCAAAGTTTTTCCATCAATTGTTTTGCTCCTCATAAGTAATCCATTTCCTTATTTTGTTTTAAATATTGATGATAAGTGTGCATAACCATATGGTTCAGGACATCGGTTGCTTAATGGTTATAACCATCACAAGATTTAAAACTAAAATAGCAATGGGCTGGTCATGTAACACGATACCTAGAAAACAGATGGACATTAAAGACAACGAATGGAATGGACCACCCGGGAAAAGAAGAGTAATTTGATAGAAATAGCAGGAAAAGACTATTGGCAAAGATAGGGACACCTGAAAGGGGTTGGGGGAGGCTTTCACCCAAGAGGGGTCCATATCCACATGCACCTAACAAAAACAAAAAATGAATTTTGATTTGATTTACTTAATTGATAATTATCTTTAAGTACAAGCAATGTTTGGCTAGTGGAATTCTGAATAACCCTGTTGACTATTACTTAATTAGACAGTTTTTTAAAATGAAAGAATTACCTTATATATAAATTTGCACTTAATTAATTATGACTTTAAGATATTATCTAATAGTCAGTTTTTTATATTTGTACACGCGTCGTCTGTATCTTAAGACAACTATATTACCTGTAACAATGTTTAAACAAACTGACGTGCAAACATACACACGCCTGACTAATACGGAATTTTCATTGTATAGTTCTTTTCATAATATTATTCATCGGAAAACGTGGCCATTGCTAATTTTATTGTTTTAAATGTTTATAATTTTACAAAGTATATCGTACAGAATTTAAACTTGTATTCCCCTTAGTTTCATATAGTTTCAAGATTTATCAAATTGCGATCAGTTTCGCAAACTCAATTAAAACTTTAATTTTTTATAAAGAAAGGCAAACGTGCAGGAGGCTCATCTGATGTTAAGTGATACTGCCCATGGACACTCTCAAAGCCAGAGGGCTCGTGAGTGCGTTGCCTGCTTTTCAAGGATTGGTACTCTCTTTTTTGAAGGAAAGTCGAAATGGTTCGAAAATACTATAATATATATGCAATTCAATTCTATCGTGACGAAAGTTATGATAAGTGACCGTTAGTAAAAATATTATAGCGGAAGATTAAACATTAATAAGATTTAATTGATTGATGATTTTGATTTAATCAAAAATATGTAAGAAGCAAAAAAAACGTACCGCTGATGGTGAAGACCGGGTTCCCGTTGATGTGCGGGGAGTAATCTTCGACTTTCTCTGATGGCTTGATGACATCGGGCACTCCGACCATGCCTGGAAAGATGCAAATTTCGTTAAGAGGGTTTAGGAACACTTAATACGTAGCTTGAAATAAAATAAAAACGATCTTTAAATTAAGTTATTGTTTCTTTCAAGAGGAAAGGAGAGAGAAGCGTCCCATAAATTATATATTATATAATAATACTTTAAGTATATAATATAACTTATTATTTAATCTACATAACTACTTTATGGTTCTATATATATGATGGGGAATATGTGGTCGATTTTAATTATACCTACTCATACATTGCTAAAATTTTTTGAACTAAGTCGTTACTTTTGAAATAAGTCGTGATTTAGAACAGAATAACACGAAGTTTTACAATAATGACATTGTTTGAATCGTTAAATTTTGTCATTAATTAGCGATTTCTGTGTCACGATTTGTGTATAACTTATTAAAATAAGACAGCACAAGTATAATGTGTCCCTTAATGTTATTATAATGAAAAGTTATAATTATGTATGTATGTATTACAAAATGATTAATGTAAAAAATACTTATAAAAGTTTTTTATTATAGTGCCACCTAGAGGTAAGTGGAAACAATTACATGTAATGATAGATTTATTTAACAAAATAAATATTCGAGCAGATCAAGACAAGGATTTATTACACATATAACAATAATATAACCATAATAAATATTAACTCTAGCGTCTGATTACGAGGGATTATTATAATTTGAGTTGGCCATTGAGAGATAATTACTGTAACCCGAGATTACGACACTAGTATATGCCCCTGACTTTGTTCTTTTGCGGTTTTCTATGCACGGTCAGTTCAAAGACAAATAAAGGTTCCGATTTCCGAGTTGTATTGAATATACAAGGTATAGCAGCTTGTTTATAATCATCAAAGTTCTACTCTTCTGCCATGAACAGCGAGCAAATGAACTTTATAATATGCTTTGTATGACATATTATATCATTCTGTTTGAAGTGCTGCGTGGCAAATAGTTACGTAAACCTATAAGATTAACATTTCTAAGTGCAGACCAGACTAACTAAACTTTATCAATTAAATAATTAACAATTAAATACATAGAAACGCGTTATAACACTTATGATAATGAACAGAAATCAAAAAATAATATTTTTATTGGTTATAAGGAGCGCACTTCGCAAACGATACCATAAAAATTGATAAAAAGGCCGCTGTATTCAGGTCAGATATAAGTGGATTAACTTTGTACGCTAGTTGCCATGGAGGATAGGGAATAATATTTTCAGCAGCTAACGTAACACTTGGTAAAGACAAAGCCAAGTAACAGAACCATGTGTTTTCTAGGGACACATTTATTGTTTTTGTGAATTGGAATCATTAGGTAAATAAGTATTCAAAGAAAAAAGTCACATTTTATTAGTCATAAAAATGAATTAGTGTATTAATAATATCGTATTAGCGTAAAGAAATAAGTCAAGTAATTTCTCTCCTTATCAACATACGTACATTACGTAACTTATTACGTAATAACTTCGTCTGAATTGTTCTAGCAATAATTAGTTCACCATGATTTAACTAAAATGAAAATGAATCAATCAGACGACGAAAGGACAAAAGCTTCGGAGAATACGGCCTGCCCGTATATTCTTACACCAGTTAACTTCAAAATTAACGTTTATTATTAACGTGAACTTTTAACTAGACTGGTTTACGAAAGTGAGAGGAAAAACTGACAAATAAAATAAATATCATTATTGCAAGCAGACCAAGTCAGGCGCCAGATATAATTTACAAAGTAATATAGTTTACGGCGTGTAATTTACCGATAATGTTAATAAAACTATGATAATTTAAGAATTTTATAACCCATTCAATCGATAAGGTTAAAATTAATGGAAAAACGAAGTGACTTTTTTTTAAATTTTTAGAAGTTTGATTTCCTTCTTTTGTTGTGTTAGCAGAATTCGCCTGATCACACCTGAAACCCTTTTAAGCTATTGGTATATCTATCAAATTCGATTTTGTTCTGTTCATATGTTTTGTTTGAGAACTTTGATCGGTATTCCTTCCTTCTTTCTAGAATGCGGCACTCGTTAATAAAAGTAATTACTAGGAAAGGCATACGTCATTACATGGATATTTTTGCAACAAAGAACGTGGGAATCGTAATAATGATAGAAATATCTGGATATTTGTGTATAAATATCAGAGGTTTTGAATAAAACTAAACAACTTGGCATGTATTTTCTTATTATACAATTAATTTACTAAAATACCTGCCTCAGATGTTATTTTCACCTTATCCCTTTGGTATTTTTAATCCATACGATGGCTATATTATATATATTATCAGTCGTATTTTGAAATATATATGAATAACGCATTTATAATTTACGTATTATATTTTTTACAGAATAAGATAACTTTTTAATCAGCAAAGTTATGGAAAAAAACATGTGACGTTACAACCCTATATAGGTTGTTCTCTGTCAGTTTCATTTTTTTATAGACTTCAAACCTTTGATAACTTTTTCTCGTTCAAGAAATATTAGTTTCTTCCAGGTGTTAGCTTTCACCATAGGAGCAACACGATATAGGGTGATACGAACACACGTTCTTAGGCATAGGAGTCCCACTGTTAAGCCAGTCGGTCACCACTGTTTATTATTGCACTACTGTATTTTTTCTACGATTGACAAAAAGCGCTTGCAAATTGCTGCAACGTTTCGAAATTCCCTTAAGTGCATTAATGAAGCCAAGGTTGAGACGTCTGGTTCAGCCGAAACCGAACACCGACCGACACTTCCTCGTTACCACTGAGATATGTTAACCGACTGAGTGGAATATATCTCTACCTATCCCTTGCTGAATACACACTGAATAGTAAAGGTTGTATAAAAATATCGTCGGATTTTAAAGCCTTTAACTGCGTGTTTCCAGCGTCTAAAGGCCCATTTAACAACAAAATAAATGAGTTTTTAATTCGAAGTTTGTGATAGAATTAGGCGATCGGTTCATGATGGACACAATAAGGCCGTGAGGTGAAAGTGCGTTGCCGACCTTAAAGAATTCGATACACTCTTGGAGGACCCTAAATAAGAACAAAACAATTGTAATTACCATACGTTGCATTTCTTTAAATTCTTACTTGAAAAGTTTTTTCGTCTATCTATGGCAGATTGAATATATAAAATTAAAGATCCTCCAGCAAACATTTAAAACTTTGTTTATCTATGTAGGTGCATATGTAACATTTTAATCATCTATTCAAAGTCGTATTTAATAGCTATTTTCATAAAATTACATTTACAGTATAGATGAGAAGTCGGCAATTTTATACCTATGCTAGAATTTGTCATATTAATTTAAACAGTTTCCTCAACTTTGTAAAATGTATATGTAGATGTGAGTTATACACACATGTGTACTATAACATTCTATGTAGTTCTTACAGGGGGAATAAAAGTCCTGTTGACTCGTAATTCCAAACAAACAACTCTTCAGATATTGAGAGAACTATGTCGAAATTGGGATATTTTTTTAGAAGTTTAGCTTTTACAGCTAAGCGTAAACTCCAACATTAAACTTGGTTTAGGTCAGTAAGGGAGCTAATTCAGTTGATCCTGATAACAAAAAAATTTAAGTTAAGAACGAAAAAGTCTGCACAAAAACGTGGCCCTTTTGAAATGTATTGTGAAAGCGTCAACGAACCGCGTCGATTGCATCAACTGTTTTCTTAATTATTTTATGATATCTTTGCAGTAAGAGGGAATTTATTTGTTTCACGGACTATTTCTATCTCGTAACCTTTTTCTAAATAATATGTTTTTTGCTTTTAAATAACGTACATCCATTTATAATGAAACTAACAACAGCATTTATACGTAGAGTGAGGAGAGCACCAGCTCAGGGTAATTTTGGACTTTGTAAGAGAGATATAAAATCCACACCGACCTTAGGTATTTTAAATCAATTCTAAGTTTTCACCAAATTGTTCAAACATATTTTTTTTATATAACAAAAGGGCAGAAGGCTCATCTGATGTTAAGTGAAACCGCCGCCCATGCACACTCACATTGCTAGAAACCTCCCAAGAGCGTTGCCGCCCTTTTAAGAATTGGACTTTTCTTGAAGTACCCTAAGTGGAATCGGTTCGGAAATACTAAAAACGCTCAGTTTTGAAACGACGGATGTCGAGGTGATACGGGTAGAATTTCGTATTCTACCTCGACGTCCGATCATAAAACTCAGCTGCAGATATTAATCCGTACAACTCCTTTCCATGATAAAATCGAAAGAGTATGTGTGTGTGTGTATACAATAAAATTGAAATTTAAAAAAATACTTAATTTTATTTTATCGTATAAGGTAAATAGGTATCTAATAACTGCATCATGTAATAAAACCATTAAGGTACACACAGGTATTAACATAGTAAATGCATCATTTAATACACGTTCAATGAGTAATAAGGTTTTCCTGATGCGCAATGGAAAACTCAAATTTACCTTGTGTGACAATTATAAAAATCCTGAGGAAATTATCTTCCATACCTAAGCCACCAAATACAAGTTAGGCTATGTTCACATGTAACGCGCGTTAACGCGCGTCAACGCGCGATCAAATTTGAAGAGCGTTCAGATGATGAGCGCTAACGCGCGTTGCGAGAGTACTCGTCAGTCTAGTTCGGTAGAACGTAGAAAATGGACGTGGAAGAGGCTATTATTTTGTGGTTATATTATAAAGAAAAATATAGAAAAAGAAAACGTACACATTGGGTTTATCCAATTTTGAAAAAAAAATACAATTTATATTATATTTTTTATACAAATTTGCTATATTCCAACTTGCTGACCTTTTTTCTACTTCATCGATTAGTAAGTCGATGTCAATATCTTCAATTTCACTCATTTTAAAAGCGAGAACAAAATATAATTACGAAAATTAATAAAATTACATGCGATCGCGATGAAAGCGCACGCTCATCTGAACAGCAAACGGACATTACATTAATATCAAAGCGCGCGTCAACGCGCGATCACC